TGAGTGATCATGGCCTTCAGCAGGACTGCATTTTACCATAAAACCCTCACCTGCACAGAGCCAAAGTCAACATTCTCATAGTGGAAGTGGGCACATTCTGCCAGCCTGGGAAAATGGCCTTTGGTGAGGGACAGTCTGCAACACAAAAAGAGCTCATCAGTATTCTGCTCCGTGGGTCTGGAAGAGACAAAACAGAGAAAGAACTCTTCCCTTGAACATATAAACACCTACTTTTTGACATTCTTGACCTTCATACTGGCCGTGCTGGCACATGAGCGCAGAGAAGATTCGGCAGGCAGTTCGGGGACCATCGGCTCTCCTCGTGCCTTCGTATACAAACACGCACATGTAAACAAACGATTACGCAGCACTCTAAACGCATGAAGTGTGACATACAGAAAGCCAGCACACACGCACCATAACAGCAATGGCGTCCTCCCAGCCTGCAGTCTCTGCTGGCTGCAAGCTTCTATCTTCCTCCCCCTCATCCTCCTCTGGGTGTGGCCTTAAAGAAAAGAGAATCAGAGAGGGGTATGTTGAAATAAGCTTCTCCTATGACATACATACATCTACATCGCATCAGTCGGCACAAAGCAATCACACCAATGAAATTCCTGAGCTAGGATTGTTTTGAGTTTTCTGTAGAACACAAAATAAGATGTTTTGCAGAACGTTCAAGCTGCCCTTTTCCAATCAATTGAATCATTTAGTGACCAGGGGTTGTCAAACGCTTAAAAAAAAAAATACTTAAAAGTCGGCCACATGACTACTAGTACACTATATTCCTGGTCTTCTATAAGCCATACAACCGGGAACAGACACACACACACACACACACACACACACACACACACACACAAAAGCAGGCTGGAATACACTACATGGCTTTTGCCCTGATTTGCAGTCTGGAGGAGTCTAGCAGTCTGCAGATTTTGGGTAGATGAAGTTGACAGATTTAACAGAAAATCGCAACCATTTAGCTTTACACCAGGGTTCCCCAAATCCGGTCCTGGAGGGCCACTGCCCTGCAGAGTTTAGCTCAAACCCTGATCAAACTTGCTGACCTGTGATTTTCTATGGATCCTGAAGACCTTGATGAGCTTGCTCAGGTGTGTTTGATTAGGGTTGGAGCTAAACTCTGCAGGGCACTAGCCCTCCAGGGCAAGATTTGAGGAACCCTGCTTTAGACTATGAATCTGTCCAGATGAAAAATATCAAACGTCTTACATTTTGAGCAGATTTTAAAGCACATATCGTTTTCATCTGTCATGCGTCTTTGTTGTGTTCGGAACAACTTGAAAAGTCTGTTAGTGTGTGTGATCCTCATTTGCTTAGTGTATGATGCCAAGTTTTTCCTCTACAATAATTTATAAAATCGGCAAGTGTGTAATACCTAGTGTTTTAAAATATGTTTATGTTATAAAAGCTGTGCAGTGCATTTCAGCCTTATGTTGTTATTTGGTGTAAAAAATGATCCCTCTGTGGTAATTTTCAAATATTATTATTAAATATGATTCAAATTTGACACTACAATATGTTGCGGCACAAAAAGCTATTATATGACTTCAGAAGAATTGGAATATAACACAGAAGCCACATTGACTATTTTTTTAATGCTTTTCTGTCCTTGTCAAGCCCAGCTTAGGCATTTATCACAAAAATCATCTTTTGTGTTTGACAGAAGGAACAACATGAGGGTGAGTAAATAATAATTGATACATTTTAATTAAAATATCATAACTATGTCTTCCAGTGAAACGATCCTTGACTTCTCCAAACATTGTGTCTGCTTAAACCCTCCCCTTTCTTAAAACCAACTGCAAACTCGCAATCAGATCAGCTTCTATCCAATCAACAACCTATGGCTAGAACCAAGCCGTTTAGGATGTGTAATAGTTAAACTGCTCTTCTGATCAATCAGATTATACACAAACCTATTATGTGAGAAAACAATACTCTATCCATAAGCCAATCGTAATGAATTATACCCAAAAGTTACATTCATTTCTAGACTCTAAAAGTAAAAGCTCACCCTTCATTTCACATTCACATCATGAAATGATCTGTCCATTTCAGAAAATCTCCAGTGCATTTCCCAGTTCACCCTGCAGCCGAGAGCATGGCTGGGAGGATCGAAACAAGGAGACATTATAGAAGATCAGATCAGTGGCTGTAAAAAGCACACTATTGTATGTTTTTCAATCAGTCAGTCACAAATGAATCACCCTAAATAACAAAGAACAGCGCTAAAGTGTAACTTGAAATATGATGCGCTCCAGGGGTAAGGAAAGGTGAGCTGGAACAGCTTTAAGGATTGGGAAGCCTTTAGAAGGGGAATAAAAGGCTAGAGTTTAGACGATTCATTCAGAAGACAAAAGACAGAGTCAGTGATTTTGTTCCAGAACATCCCACACTCCCCCCTTCCTCCAACAGATTAGACCACTGTGAGACTGAACGATAATGCCTGATCCGGTTCATGGAAGAAAGAGGCAAAAGTTTACTGCCATTTTAAAGTCACAGGTGCAACATAATGGCAGCATAGTGAGTTCTAAATTACAATCTACTGGTCAAAGATTTATGAGAGTGTTCACAATAAAGTAATGTTAGTTTTTATCATATTTAGTCTATATTAACCTGTGTTTTTTGTCTCTACTGTTCGTTAGTTTTTTTTAGTCACATTTAGTCATGCTGCACGATAATGGTTAAACAATCACGACTGTTATTATTATAAAAATTGCAATTATCAATCACGACTGTTATCATTTGAAAAACTGCTGCTCGTGTCATCGAATGAACAGGATATTTGGATTGTAACCAAACTATTTGTCTATTCTTTTTTTTGGTTGCTGAACAATAGAGATTTTTTAGGGGGAAAGTGTTTATTTTAAACTACATATTAGTCTCGTATTTTCATCAAAAATATTGCATGTTGATATGGTCACATTATTATTATTTAATGATCTTGTCACTGTCTTATCGTTATCAATGAAAAAGGGTCGTAGATGAACTTTTTTTGCCACAGTTTCAGTTTAATTTAAGTTTATCGCCACATCAGCTTCACAGGCTATTTCATGGCAAAGATTATACATAAAAAATATAGTAGAACACAAAATACAAATACAATAAACAAATAACTTAATAAAACAAAGTATTACACACAAATGTCTATAAAAGATGCTTTAAATTTACTTTTGAAAGAAATTGTAAACGTTTTTCTGGGTCCATCTTATTAAACAAGTCCTTAAGAGTTTGTCATGATAATAACCTTTGTCTCATGACATTAAATATTGGAGTCCTGCAATATTTTGGTGCTTCTTCACCAATCAATAAATCAATACGACACCTTATCCGGTTCATGGAAGAAAGAGGCAAAAGTTTACTGCCATTTTAAAGTCACAGGTGCAACATAATGGCAGCATAGTGAGTTCTAAATTACAATCTACTGGTCAAAGATTTATGAGAGTGTTCACAATAAAGTAATGTTAGTTTTTATCATATTTAGTCGATATTAACCTGTGTTTTTTGTCTCTACTGTTCGTTAGTTTTTTTTAGTCACATTTAGTCATGCTGCACGATAATGGTTAAACAATCACGACTGTTATTATTATAAAAATTGCAATTATCAATCACGACTGTTATCATTTGAAAAACTGCTGCTCGTGTCATCGAATGAACAGGATATTTGGACTGTAACAAAACTATTTGTCTATTCTTTTTTTTGGTTGCTGAACAATAGAGATTTTTTTGGGGAAAGTGTTTATTTTAAACTACATATTAGTCTCGTATTTTCATCAAAAATATTGCATGTTGATATGGTCACATTATTATTATTTAATGATCTTGTCACTGTCTTATCGTTATCAATGAAAAAGGGTCGTAGATGAACTTTTTTTGCCACAGTTTCAGTTTAATTTAAGTTTATCGCCACATCAGCTTCACAGGCTATTTCATGGCAAAGATTATACATAAAAAATATAGTAGAACACAAAATACAAATACAATAAACAAATAACTTAATAAAACAAAGTATTACACACAAATGTCTATAAAAGATGCTTTAAATTTACTTTTGAAAGAAATTGTAAACGTTTTTCTGGGTCCATCTTATTAAACAAGTCCTTAAGAGTTTGTCATGATAATAACCTTTGTCTCATGACATTAAATATTGGAGTCCTGCAATATTTTGGTGCTTCTTCACCAATCAATAAATCAATACGACACCTTGAATACACAACTTGGTCATACCTGGATTTACTTTTTTTTTGGCCCAGTTAGCAAACTTAACACTACTAATACAAAAGAAAAGAAAAATAATTGATGTTTGCATTCATAATTTGATATGGTTTTGAAAAAAAGATTAAATTTAATGACTCTAAAATGTCAAGTAAAAAGTACTAACTTTAATATAAGTAATCAATCTTAACCATTAGTTTAAAAAGCTACATTTTAAGCTTGGGGGTTACAATGTTTTGTTTTTTTTTCTTACAAAATATCACCAACTAACCTTGCCATAAAAATATTAAATTATCTGATATTTTTATTGATATATTTTTGACTTGATGAGGGTCTGCAATGGTCTTTATATCAGGGCTGCACGATTATGACAAAAATCCTAATTGTCGATTATTCCCTTGAAATTGTAATTGCGATTATTAATTATGATTATCACAATTTTCATTGAATGATGTTTATACCATTGTTTTATGCGACTGCATGTCGTAATTTTATATGAAAATAAACAAGCTGAAAACACTAACTGAAAAACTTTGTGCTTTTCTATAGCAAAAGACTTCCCTCAAGGAAAAGTTTGGATTCAGGTTTTTCATTCAATACTGATGGAGAAATACACATTTAAAGAATTCTGGACTACAGGTGTAAGAGGTTACAAATACAATTACATATACAGTTCTTTGTTTTTTATGACGGTCCTCGTGCCCCACGTACCATATGATAGTTCAATAAAATGCTAATTCTGTCATTATTTACTTTACTCACCTTCATGTCGTTCCAAATCTTATGAATTTCTTTATTCTCTGGAACATAAAAGAAGCTGTATTGAGAAAAATCTCAGTTTTAATTCCACAAAATAGTTTCTTTCGTGCTTCACAGAACAAAGTTATACTCGTTTGTAACAACGGGAAGATGAATCAATGTTGACAAAATGTTCATTTCTAGGTGAACTATCCCTTTAAACGAAGCCAAACTGTCATTGAGAACAGTATGTGAAATGTAAATATCTTAGACAATTTCATATTTGTTAAGGTCTAATTTGGTTCACAGATTGAAAAAAGAAGGAAAAAACTGCCATCTACAACTTCATAACATGCTGAATGGTCCAAGATGAAGGGTCACAACTGTTTCATTAAAGCAAAAACGTCCCAAAGACAACAGAAGGGTTAACCTAAACTTAGCAGAGTCTATTTCAACTTCACCTTGGGAAATTATCATCAACATCATCACGATAATTGTTCAATTATCTGGCCAATGCCAAGGCGTTGGTCTGGAGGCCTATGCCAGGGCCACAGTGTTATCTGTTTTATGTGTCACCCACCTCAGATAAATAGGTGTGTGTGAGAGGGAGTTGTGTTGGTTGAGGACTTTGCACCTGCATGAACACTTAATTTCCTATATGACAACATTATCAGTCATTGTGGCAAACCTTTGGAAAACACCTTCCCTCCAAGGCATTTTGCTTGAAATGTAAAAGTCAATCAGATTTAACATATGCAACAGTGGCCTCTAGTGGTCACTGCAGATACGAACAGTCAAAAATCACTCGTCAAGAAATAAACACACTCTTATATATACATATATATATATATATATATATATATATATATATATATATATATTTATATATATATATATATATATATATATATATCCTCATATATA